ACTTTCCATTCATTTAGAAGGTAAACCCTGCCTTATGGAGGTCGATACCGGGTCAGCACTCTCGATTATTTCGTGGAGCACACTTAAGAAAATACGTCCCAGCCTGTCCAGGAAGCAACTGCAGAAGAGTCGCCTATCCTTGAGGGACTATCAAGGGAAGAATATTCCGGTGCTCGGAACAGGCAAGTTCCTCGTCAAATTCAAATCCTTTAAAGGCCACCTGCCATTAGTGGTAGTTGATGGTGCCCTTCCTAGTCTTCTGGGGTTGGATTGGTTCCCCTTTCTCGGCCTTAGCTTAACGGGAGTACATGCTGTCTCATCCTCCGATACCGACTCACTCTTTTCAGATTACGCTGACGTATTCAGTGATGAATTGGGCTGTTACAAAGGCACACCTATATCCTTCTCGGTAGACCCCCAAGCAGTTCCCATCTGCTTAAAGCCGTGAAGAGTACCATTTGCTCTGCGATCTAAGCTAGATGCGGAACTAGACAAATTACTCAAGCAAGGGGTAATTGAACCCACAGATTTTGCTAAATGGGAGACACCAATTGTCACACCCCTAAAAAAGGATGGTAGTATAAGAATGTGTTCAGACTACAAGACCACAATAAACCGCTATCTGCAGACTAGCGCATACCCAGTGCCAGTAATCCAACATTTACTTCACACATTTGAACCAGGAACTATATTCGCCAAATTGGATATGTCACAGGCATACCAGCAGTTTCCTGTGGACAACCAAACGGCCGAATTGCAAACCATTGTTACCCACAGGGGGGCCTTCTGATGCAAGCGCCTCCAATTTGGCGTCAGCGTCGCCCCGGGCATATTCCAGTCATTAATGGAACGGATCCTGCAGGGCCTTCCTGGTGTGGTTCCATACTTTGATGACATCTTGGTTTCAGCCCGGGACAGAGCCCAACTTTTCCTCAGAGTAAGAGGGGTATTGGATAGGTTCAGACAGCATGGCCTCAAACTAAAAAAAGAAAAATGCGCCATAGCCACTAAACAGGTGGACTTTCTTGGATACCGAATAGACGCCTCTGGCATTCACCCGGTGGAATCTAAGGTCAAAGCCATTCATGAGGCACCCACCCCCTCTTCCAAACCAGAGCTACAAGCCTTCCTAGGCCTGCTGAACTTCTATGCATCATTCCTGCCTCACAAAGCTTCAGTGGCCGAACCACTGCATAGACTTTTAGACAAAAATACACCATGGCACTGGGGACCCAAAGAGGAATACGCTTTTAGGGCAGTCAAGTCACTACTTACTTCAGACGCTGTGCTGATTCAATTCAACCAGCACCTGCCACTGGTTTTAGCTGCTGACGCCTCACCCTTCGGGATTGGGGCCGTACTAAGTCACAGGCTTCCCAACGGATCCGAAGCTCCGATCGCATTCTTTTCTCGAACATTTTCAACTACGGAATGTAATTATAGTCAAATTGACAAAGAGGCCCTCGCTGCCGTAGCCGCGGTTAAAAAATTCCATGAATTTTTATTCGGGCACAACTTCGAACTAGTTACAGATCACAAACCACTGTTGGGACTTCTCTCCGGGGAGAAACAAACGCCGCAAGTCTTGTCACCCAGGATGACAAGGTAGACCTTATTCCTGGCGGCTTATTCATACAAATTAGTTCACCGCCCAGGAAAAAACCTCAGCCACGATGACGCCCTCAGCCGCTGCCCGCTGCCAACACCCGTGGAGGATCCGGCCCCAGTACACACCATTTTCGACACCAGTGAGTTCAGCATTCCAGTCACTGTGAGAGACATTGCTTTTCAGTCCAGAAAAGACACACTTATCGCCCAGGTCCTGGACTGGGTACGGAGGGGGTGGCCGGGTAGTAATCCATCTAATGATTTTTCACCATTTAAAGTCCGCCAACAGGAGCTTTCCAGTTTACAGGGCTGCCTGCTTTGGGGGACCAGAGTTGTCATCCCGGAATCTCTGCGCAGACCCGTCCTGAAGGCATTGCACGAGGGGCACCCCGGCATTGTCCGAATGAAGGCATTGGCCCGGAGTTACGTCTGGTGGCTGGGCATGGACGACGAAATCGCGAAATGGGTAAGCTCCTGCCACCCCTGTCAAGAGTCCAGGCCTGCACCTCCAATCACCACTCCCACCAAATGGGAAAGCGCCAACGCACCATGGTCGCGGCTGCATATTGACTTGGCCGGCCCATTTCAAGGCAAGACCTTCCTAGTAGTTGTAGATTCATTCTCTAAATGGATCGATGTGGCCCTTCTACTCACAACCACCACTCGAGCAATTGCCCAAGCTCTAACCCGTCTGTTCGTCACACACGGTCTGCCGGACACTATAGTCTCAGACAATGGCCCTCAATTTACGTCCACAGACTTCAGCCGGTATGTCACCAACCTGGGCATCGGCACATTCTAATGGCCCCTTTTCATCCCTCGAGCAATGGACTGGCTGAGAGAGCTGTCAGAACTGCCAAAGAGGCACTAGCCAGGTTCACCCAAGATGACTGGCACTCCAGGCTCTCTCGATTCCTTATGAGCCAACATTCGACCCCTTGCACGGTCACCAACAAATCTCCAGCCGAGTTACTAATGGGCAGACGCTTAAGGACAATACTAGATAGACTGCACCCTCACTATTGCCCAGACACGCCAATTGGGTCTAACAGTAGGGTCAGGAGTTTTGTATTACAGGACCGAGTTTTCGCCAGGAATTACGCAGGCGACCCACTGTGGATACCTGGAAAGATCGTGGCCATCACAGGTCCCCGATCGTACCGCATCCAGTTGGAAGACGGGCGCATCTGGCGGAGACACCTAGACCAAATACGGAGCCGTCCAGCCGAGCTCGCCAGTACCGACCCAGAGGCTGCGGTGACACTCCAAGCACCACACGCAACTCCTGACTGGGACATCCAGGGCGACCAATCCCCTCCAGCCGAGTCAAGGGAACAGACAATAGACCGGAACCGTCCACCAGAGTCATCGGCCCTTCCGACCGACTACCCCACCGCACTAAGTGGCTGCGACAACTCAGCGAGCCGGCCTGAGGTCTACGACCACGCGCAGGTGGCCGACCAGCTCCCAACAAATCCAGCTTCCGCTGCCCCGAACTCTGTACCGCCTGGGGGCTCACCCGAACTGCGCCGATCAGGGCGATCGCACAAACCTCCCGCATACCTACAAGACTATTCATGTTCGTATCTGGGGGGAAGGGGTGTTATGTCCTCGGGGCTGACACCAGTTCTCCATCAGGTCCGCTCTTCCTGCGGGGGCGTTTACACCCCCCATTGGTTGGCTCCCTTCGACAGCCGGCTATAAAAGCCAGCTGCTAGGTTGAGCCAGCCGCTGTTCGCTGGCAAGTCTGCTGTTAGCAATGCAGACGCGACAGCCCCCTTTATTTCCGAATAAAGCGTGTTTTGAGAAATGCTCTGGTGTGGCCTCCCTCCTTTTCGAGATCTAACATATATGTAGACTTCCAATATTCTTCACGGCAGTTGTAAATACAGTTATATCTTAATCTTTCTCTTTATTTATTCTCTTCTTTCTGCAACATGTTCTTTTCTAATCATTTTTATGCCAAAAGAGTCCATAAGGGGTTTCTAGTTACCAATAAATGTAGACATTGTCTACATTAGTTTATGCCTCTCAGCAAGATCTTCAATTTTGTCAGCCATTCCTTCATAGCTGGTAGCATTTGATCTTTCCATCTTTATGGATAGGTAATAATCTTTCCATAGTGATTATATATTGAAATAATCATCTGCGATTTTTTTCTGTATATTCATTAGTCCTAAAAATAAAAAATCTTTCAACTGAATATTATTATTTAAAAACCTCTATATAAAAATATGTACTTGAATTCAATATTTTTTAGCTTTCTTACATATTCACCAAGCACGTATGAAGGTACATTACATAACATTTTATATTATCTTTGAAATATATCTTTAATTACATATCATTTTATATTATCTTTGAAATCATAACACAATAAAATTTCATCTCCTTTCATATTTTTCATTGATCAATCTGTATTTTATAATCAAAAATTTTAGTCATACATTATTTAACCTATATTAAATTAAACTGTATTAAATTTCAACAAAAGTGTGCAATTTTTAACAACTAGTTATTCATAATTAGTGCACAATTGTATTTTATATTCTCTCTCCATGCCAAAATCTTTTTGTCCACTTTGAATCCTTTTGATAACTGCAGATAGGAAACCATTTATAACTATATACTTCTGCAATTAATTGGTCTCTTTACATACCCTAATTAAAAATTCCCCTTGATGATTTTCCAATAATTTCCTATAGGTCAACTTTGCTGTTTCTTTTCTACGCTATACTTCTTGAGGCGAGATCCACAAAGGTGTTTTCTCCGGAGGATGGAATCACAGTTCAGATTCATTGATTTGATTAAGGCTCCCCAGTTTAAATAATCTGAGCAATAAATTCAGCCAAAGGGTTGAGTTGAATTACATGATCTTTGGTTCCCATCGCTTTCGTCTCCCGCCATTGCAGTTAGGGCTGGATCCTGTCCTGACCAACTAAGCGCATCCTTGGATCTGTTTCTTTAGTCCCCTTCCGTGTCCCCGCTCCTCGCGCCCCTTTCTTGCTCCTGATATGATCGCCTCGGAAGTCTTCAGGAGACGTCTGACTGATGGCGTAAATACTTCAAGAGCAAGAAGTAATACTCCTGTTCTGGGACTGGGAAAATTTCCCTATATCCCTGAAGGAAAGAGGGTGACGCCAACCCACGCCTCGTCCGTGCCAGGAGGAGTAGGAGCAGCAGCAAGGGTGCCAGGTGGGTTCGAACGATTCCGGAGCAGCAGAGATGGCTGAAGTTTAAAGCGGGGCATTAAAGAGGGCGGACGGCGGACAGTCAACCCTGTGCCTTCCAGGCAGGAGAAGCAGGAGGCGGAGGAACCCATGTCTCAGGTTGCTGGAGAGGCTGCGCCTTTCCGCCTCAGCGGCGCCTCCTGATTTTTCCAAGTTGTGGGGCGGTGGCTGTTTCGTGTAACTTGCTGCTGTCCGCTGGCTAGTGGAGGTGAAAGCCCGGCTTTGATGGCCTTAGACGCGCTTCTGGGTTCTGGCCCTCTGCTGTTCCTGGGTGAGGATTGACGTTTCCTTTCTACCTACCATGGTTATCGGGTGGGTTCCTGGCTACTTGCACCTATTCTTGCGTAGAACACCCTTCGATAGCTTCACGACAGGCAAATGTTCAACAGGTGCGCTTTTTCTGACATCAGTCATGCAACTAATATGCCCTGGGACCCTTGCCGGAAAAGAGAATGGCGTTTGTAATTAAATCCTGCTGTCAGTATTTTTCTTCTCTGGTAGGGATTTCCAAGCAATTTATAAGCTTGTAAAAGTTGTCTTATGAGTGAGAGAGGCAGCATATAAATTAAATCAATCAATAGCATATGAATTTAATAAATAAATTAATAAGAAAACTCCCAGCAGGTTTGGCATCACTTGTAGTGTTGCTGCTTGTCCTGGATAGGAACTCTGCTAGGAAAAAAATAAACAACTTATCCATATCTTATATTTACTTGAACAACAAAGTGCTTGCAATTATGACTGTGACTTTGCAATACAAAGAGAGATCTTTTTTTTTAGACGAGAATCTCTGTAGAAAGATAGCTTAGGCTGCTGTTGTCAAGACTTCATCCCTGTCCTCTTGGAATATAGTCAAATCTATTCCATCAACTGAAAAACCTTGCTCATTAATGATAAATCAGACTTTTTCATTCTTTCCTTCCTTCAGGTCTTGCTATAATACGCATTTTTTTTATGACAAGGGAAACAGAAGTAGGGAGATTTTTTCCTGTGCAAAATATATCATCAATTAGATTAGGCTGCCTTGCTACAGCATTGCTTGGCAGGATACTTATTAGTGCCTAAGTGCCTATTTTTATCCTGTGTGTTTATTTTAAGGGGCCTTAGAATCCAGGACAGTTTGAAACAAGGTAAAAGATAAAAGAAGACCGCTCTGGTTTAATCACAAACCAGCCTAAATATGTTTGTAACATTTCTTTCTTTTTTTTGAAAAATCTTTATTGAAAATTTAAAACATTAAAATATAAAATACAATACAAATATTTAAAATGAAAATGTTGTGTATATTACAATCCATTTTGACAGTGCTTACACTTCAATTGTTATTCCAGTGCATATTTTATACTATTTATTCTTATGTATAAACATTTCTTATGTAAGTGTTTTTGCTATAATGTGGGCTTGTGGATTTATTAAGTTAGATTGTTTATTATCTAAGTTTTGCAATCATATCATTAAATATCACTAACAATCTATTACATTATAGAGAATTGAAAATAATTATGGTACTAATTTGCATTGTATTATAACTTTGTATTTATAAACTCATGACATTTCATAGTATTGGTTTTTCAGCAAAAGAGAATCAGGGTTATTTGAAAATATTGGCATTGCAGAATATATGTCTGGATTGGTTTATCTGATGGTTTTTGGTAAATACTTTCTGACAATTTTATTAAACATCACATTATTTACGTATATTGATACCAGTGTAAATATTGGAATATTTTCTAGTTCTATGGCACTTGCCTTGAGATATTGCAAGTGGTTTAACTGGATTACATGTTTTTCTGGAACTCCTGGAATGTTTTAATACTAGTAGTCAACACTTGGTGATGAAACACACTGTTAAAAAACATCCATGCCTTCCTACTTAATTCTTTTGTTGGGAGACTGCTGTGTTGTTGCTTTGCCTGGAAATGAAGTGTACTTTCGGGACAAAGATCTGTTCGTATATCTGGTGAATAATGTCCATTAAGTATTCCAAAATAATGGAGTTCAACTGCTGGAGACAAAATGGAGACATTCATATTGCTTCTTCGACAATAATGTGGAAGTAGTTTGCTGTATTCTACAATATTCCCCCCCCCCCCCCATATTTCTTCTTTAGTCTACCAACCCACAGATCTCATATTAAGGTATTGTGATGAAATGCTTAACAGACCTAGGGAAGATAAAGGAGGTAACAAGACAATTAATGAATTAACAGGGCTGTCACTTGAGCCAGGGAAAAAGGGAAATGTGAGAAAGAGGATAATTCCATTTTAATTATAACTTACAGTAATTATACTGTTATGCTATAACAGATAGACATTTGAAACATATTAATATTTTCTGTAATTTATAAGTAATAACATTTAATTCACAGAGAAGCAGGTGAATACCACATGCAGTCAGGAGAGAGCGAGAATGAGCTACACAGCTTTTGTACAGGTGCAGCTGTTTTATTGGTACCCTGTCTACTAAAGTTTCAGCCATGTATGGGCCCAGCACAATCTTTTTTTTTTCCAATTTGTATTGGTAATTTTGAGATAGTGGTATGCCAATATTAGCAGTATTTGTGTTTGTTTTCAACCTTACGTGTGGTAGCTTCTTTATTTATTTCTTTATTCATTACATTGTTAATTGTTGTATCCTTCAAAAAGATACCTGTTTTGAAATTTTAATGTGGATAACTTTAATTAAATTATAGGTCATATTTCTGGCTTTGTGTTTCGAGCATATTTAGTTCAATATTTTCCCCTCTTATTTACTATCTTACTTTCAAAGTTGAACTGAATATCCATATTTTCTAATTATTATTTTGAGTACCATATCCACTCTATATTTAAAAAATAAAAAACCTTTCATATTTAATATGTCAGATGTCTGAGCAGAATTATGCTTCTTTCTGAAGATTGCAGGCCTTGCTTAGTTAAATACCTGTGGAACTTATTGGCTTTACCAGTAAGTATTTTATTAGATTGTTTCATTTACATATGTGAAATTTAAGTAGTTTAATGATACATCATATTTTAATCAAACCTTTAGAAACTACCACGTTACTTGTACTATTTTTCTGCACATCTGTCATAATTGAGACAAATTTTAAACTTCTGTTACAGCATTTTGTAAGTATGATCCTATCTTAAGAATATTCTCATTTTAAGTTACCAAACTTGGAATTATAATACTTCCCATAATCTAATATAATTTTCCTTAAATATGCTGGCTAAGAATTCTGAAAACTGGGATCCCAATGTACCTGAAACAAGAAGTTAGAGATTGACCAATTATTGCAAACATTAATTATCTTTTGGTGTTATGAGCTCTTTTTTATTAACAGATTTCTTATATGAGGCTGAATTCATTGCTTAAATATTTCTTGTTGAGCTTTAATATTTATATTATATTAAATATTCTTGATATTTGGCAGTTTGTATTTATATACTGAATTCTAATCTAGAAAGATTGATCATTTAAAAGAGCCAGAGGGATACTCCTGAAATTGCCATCAATTTATCAGCTTGCTCAATTGGAGTAGGAACAACACTGCTTCTAGGGAAAAAAAATTTCTGCTGGTGCAGCCATTTTTTTTACTTTGAGTGGCTTCTTCATGCATGCAAATTTGTGAAAGAGTATGTAGGTGTGCAAAATTGGAAGTATTTGGATAAGTTGCATCCTGTAGGCAAGAATAAGGGTGAGGAAAGAATAATTTATAAACATCACTATTCATTCTAAGAAAGCTTTAGTAAGAGGAACTTGTTTTGTACAATTGATACGCTATATATCTGAGCCTAATACTGATTTAAAACAAACAAACAAACTCTTTTGGAAAGAGCTAATAAAGGGGATTGAGGATTAATTCCGGGACACCAGCTGAAGAAATTCTTACACATGTTTATTTGAGGCCTCCTGTGGTGAAAATATTATTTAATAATAATGATTGTAGACTGACATAGAAGGCTATATTGGAATTGGTGAATAAAGGTATCTTTGAGATTAATTTTAGTCATGCTTGTTCAGAAATCAATGTAAGTGATCCAATGTGATTTGCTGTCTTATGTTGGAACTTTCAGCAGGGAAAGTAGCCAAAGTTATTTGTAGCTAAATTAGCTAAAATAGCTAAATTTATACATAGTAACATAGTCTATTTTCTGTGGGGAAAATTAAGTTTGGTAAATACTAATTTAATCAGTTGTAAACAACATTCTAGTATATTTGACAGTTTCATAGCTTTTACAAAACCAGTCTCAAGCATAAACAGCTACTTTTTAGAGGAAAGGTACGTAGTTCTAGTAGTTTTAAATTGGACATAAAAAGGTAAAGGAGATCTTGCAGATTTTACTCTGCTAGTCGTTGCTGACTGTAAGGGGCAGTGTTCATGTGTGTGTGAAGGCTATTGAGCCAAGGCTGTCCGAAGACATTTCTGGGGTCATGTGGTCAGTATGACGTCATGGAGGCTGTTATCTCTATTTATGTACTCACATTTGCATACTTTTGAACTGCTACCAGTAGATTCACAGGAGCTGGGACGAAGGTAGGAGCTCAACCTATTGCATGGTACTCAGGTCTTGAACCTGGGCTACCGGCTTTCCAGACTATAAGCCCAGCATTTTAATCACTGAGCCACCACATCACCAGATCTATCATAGTGAAAAATGGAAGTAATAAATTACAATCTTCTACATGAAAACCTAACAAAATCTAAGTGAAATAAATTATCAATATATCTTCTTTTATCTGTTTCTAAAATGTATTAGAATATGAACAAATTTCAGTACTTTTGTCAATTTAAGTAAATAAGGAAAATTGCTACTGTCTTCTGATGTTTGCATTAAATTTTCTACAATATGAACATAAATAAATAATATAAATAAATGTATATTTATTGATACTTTGCACATACTGTTTATTTCCATGACTTTTAATGCTCTATTTTTGTATATCTGATAAAACCCCTTCAAATCTTGTCAAGTTTCTCTCAAAGAGCAAATATGTGGAGCAAAAATGAGCACTCAGCTTTTCCTTTTCTGGGGAAGTTCTGTTAGCTTTTTTTTAGCAAAGGTGTGTTAATCTGCCACTCTGCTACGAGAAGTAGATCTTTCAAATAGTTGAGGGCAAATGTTATGAGGTATTTTTTTTAAACTTTATCGAACATAGGTAATGTAAGTAATCTAGAACAGGGGTCCCCAACCTTGGCAACCTTAAGACTTGTGGACTTCAATTCCCAGAGTTCCTCAGCTTTACTGGCTGAGGAATTCTGGGAGTTGAAGTCCACAAGTCTTAAAGTTGCCAAGATTGGAGATCCCTGATCTAGAGCAGGGGTCACCAATCTTTTGGACTTCAGGGACCGCCCAACTCATAATTTTAAATCCCGTGGACCACTAATATGAATTTTTACTGATGGTGGCTTGCTGATGTTTTCCCAAGGTCTCTGCAGAAAGCAGCAGAGACCCTGGGAAAATCCCAAAAATTGTCTGCAGGAAAATTCCCCACCCCATTTTCCTACCGATCGATCATTCTTTATTTGGGATTGCAAGATACTGTCTCCAGCTCCATTCTCAGGGAGAGGGAGAGAGAGACAGACAAACAGACAGATAGACACTTTTGGCTTCATGCAAGGAAAGCAGCAGAAGCAGCGGAAGTCTTTCTTTCTCTCCCCCAAACTCTGCCAGAAATCAGTCTTTGTGAGAGTTGTCACACCGGCGCAGCCTCTTGGAGAAGGAGGACTTGCAAGGTCCCAAAGACCTGTTTCTGGTGGAGTTTGGAAGAGAGAAAAAAATACTTTTGCTGCTTTCCTTGCGTGCAGCCAAAAGCAGAAGAAGAAGCAGAAAGAAGCAGCCTGGTGACCAGGCCAGGCATGTGGGGCACATGGGGCAAGCTCCCCCCTCTGCCCTTCCCCCCTCCCCTCACTATCTCGTGTTGTTCGCAATGCAAGTGATGCAAGCCTTGCATTCCTGTGGGCTATGTGGGCGGCGTAGCCTTGTGTTCCCGCACAGCCTGGATTAATTGCTTTGGGGGGTACTTTGTGGGTGATATTTCTCTGAGGACCACCAAAATTTTCTTGTGGATCACCAGTGGTCCCCGGCCCACTGGTTGGTGACCACTGATCTAGAGTATTACAGTATGCCATTCAGAAGTTTTTCAAACTGAATTTTTTCTTAAGACATAACAAAACCCACATTAGTTGTTATGATTAAGAGAATTGTATCTTTAGAAACAAGAAACAAGCTGTACACTTAGTAGAAGTATTATTGTAATTTGAGTCTAGTTACTTGAAATATACTTTTGAAATGATTTGCCGCCTTCTCCTCCCCAACTAAAGGCATAGTCATTTTCAGCTCTGTGACTAGCAGTGAAAATGCAACAGCCAGCCCGGAAACCAAGAAGCTTTCCTGTGATTACACGAATGGAACATGTACAGGTAACAGATGGATTGTAATTCCTGATAATAGCGTTGATTTTCAATAATGGTGAGGAAGACATTCAACTGATTAATTGATGTAATTAAGGTGAAAGACTAGAAACTAAGAGACTGGGACTTCTAATTGCCCTTTGAGAATGGGGTGGTTGAGTGACTATGAATCCATCCTATTTGTTATGGGGGAAATAAGTAGAATTAGCACTATCTATGCCATCTTGAGTTATATAGAAAATGAAAGCAGGAGAGAAATCTAATAAATACATAATTTCCATTGTAATTACATGTAACAGTGCACAATGTTTTAGGAAACTGGCAATCATAATTAGTAAGCTTTTATTTTGCAATATGTTAATTATAAATATATCATGTTTTAATGATTCCTAAAAGAAATATATATGCATACATTCAGTTACTGACCGTCATTTGAATCTGTTTATTATGAAATTTATTTGCCTCTCATTTCCTGTCCAATTAATAATAATACCTTAATAAACAGAATCTACATTAAGATTATATTAATACAGTAGTGCAGTTTTTAACCCAACCCAAGACAGTTGTCAAGAATGGAAAATATCTGGATTTGGAAGAATTATCCTTGAGTCTGAAGGTGCAAATGCTTTTGAATTTTCAAAGGTGTCAGAGTAGATGTAACCCATGGGAAAAACAAAACAAATATAAAGTCGAATAGATCAAAGACATGTAATTATTGCCATGCTAGAGAAAGAAATAGGTTCATGTTCTATATATTTGCTTGCTGATGAGATCTCTAAGAACCAGTTCAGACTTTGCATAATGTAAGATCTAAATCTCTCTCAACTTTTGCCTTGCCTAATTTCTCATCGTTCAAAGTTTCACTAGGCTTATTTCCCATCTTGATAAATCTGTTTTATTTAACATCCATCAGTTGTTTCTAAATTGCTCTTGTTGTATCTTGTCAAGCTTCTTAATTGAATATAAAACCATTTCTCTCCCTTTCTTCTGCCCCGATTTTCTCTCTTCCAATTATTTATATATCATACTCTGCAGCTCGAACTCATCAGTTGTCTTTGCTGTAACAATCAATCACTAAGGTAGAATATCAGCATATAACCTCACTTTGCAAAAATGAAACCAGGAAAGCTAAGCTCAGAATGAATTAAGATTTGCAACAAGTGTCAAAAATAATAAGAAAAGATTATTTCAAAATATGAAAAATAAGAAAAAAGTCAAGTAAACAATTAGTCCACTAATGGGAGGAGATGGAAAGGAAGTGACAGAGAGCAGGGAGAAAGCAGAGCTACTTAATTCTTTCTTTGCATATGTCTACACACAAAAATACCCCAACCTACCAAAAACAGAACCATAAAAGATAGTCTAGGAATTCAAATTAAAATAGACAAAAAAAAATGATAAGAGAAGACTTGTCCACACTAGATGAGATTAAATCAACAGGACCTGCAGAGTTCTTCAAGAACTGGCAGTAGGGATTTTGGAACCAAAGATTCTGGAGAACCAGGGAATTATCAGAGGACTGGAAAATAGCTGATGTGGTTAAATTAAATTCCAAACCAATCAGCCTGACATCAATGCCTGGGAAAATCCTGGAAAAGATAATCAAGCAACAAATCTGAGAATATCTAGAGGCAAGCAAAGCTATAATCAGAAGCCAACATGGCTTTGTCAAAAACAGGTCATGCCAAACAAATCTTATTTCATTCTTGGACAAAGTGATTAAATTAATGGACCAGTGAAATGCAGTGGACTTAGTACATGTGGATTTCAGTAGGCTTTTGACAAAGTAGACCACGATCTACTTCTTGGTTAGCTAGAAAAAATATGCAAGAGAGAGCACTACCAGATGGATTTGTAATTGGCTGACCAACCATACTCAACATCTAGTCCTCAATAGAACTCATCTAAATAGAAGGAATCATGTGGAGGACAAGAGGAAGGCAATACCTCAGTGTTTAATGGAGCTACATCAGAGGTGGGATTCAGCCGATTCAGACTGGTTCAAGTGAACCGGTTGTTAAAATTCTGCCCAGTTTGATGAACCAGCTAATCCCACCACTGACTGGCCCTGCCCTTGCCTGTTTTTCAGATCATTTCCAGTTGTTTTCCAGGCTGTTTTGGACCATTTTGGGGAAGAAAACAGACCCCAAAATGGTCAAAAATGACCTGAAAAATGGACAAAAATGGGATGAAAAATGGCCCCAAATGGTCATTTTCTGGCTGTTTTCCAGATCATTTTCTGGGCCATTTGGGGGCCATTTTGGGGGCATTTCAGGCCATTTACCAGGCTGTTTTGGGTTATTTTCCAGTGAAAAGGGGCCCCAAAATGCCCCCCTCCCAAAAAACCCAGCCAAAAAGACCAAGCCAAAACCCAGCCAAAATGGCCTGGAAAATGACCCAAAACATGGCCTAGAAAATGGCCAAAATCAGGCCGAAAAATGAAGGAAGGAAGGAAGGGGTTAATCTAGCTTTAGCTTAGTCTCTTTCAGAATTGCCTGGACAGAAGTCTTGTCAATCCTTCTTCTTCTGCTATTTATTTATTATTTAGGGGTGCAAATGGGCCTTAATTGTAAATTGCTTCTGAGGATTCAATAGGATTTATTGGCTCTGCCACCTTAGGTGTGAAGCGTTGGCTGTTATGACACAATATATTGCTTTTTAATAAGCTCAGCCTCCAATGTCTTACTTTCCTAGGCAATGGGAGCAGAATGCTTTGCTGGTCTCTTCCCATCCTTTCACTGAGGGGGCGGGGATTTGTACCAGAAAATTGAGGGTTGGTTAACTCTTTCATTTCTGGAAGTGTTGCATATAGGTCCAAGTCCTGGGGAAAGAGAGAGTGGCTGGAAGACAGGGCTGGGTGTGATGAGTGACAGTGAGTTGCCCACACCCACCCAGTCACATGATCACCCAGCTACACCTACCCAACCCATGCAAGTCATTAGGGCAGAGAACCGGTTGTTAAATTATTTGAATCCCTTCACTGAGCTACCTCTACATGGAGGAAAGTAAGCAATGGGTATCCAAAGGGTCTGTCTTTGACTCAGGACTCTTCAGTTCATCTTCATAAATGATTTAGAGACGGAATAGAAGAAGGACTCATCAGATTTCAGATAACACCAAACTGGGAAGAATAGTCAACAGGCTCAAATATAGGCTCATGATCCAGATGGATCTCGGCAGACTTGAATGCTGGCAAAATGACAAAATGAAATACATTTCAGAGAAAAGTAACATTTCACACTTAGACAAGAAAAACCAAATGTACAAGTACAGATCAAGTGAAACCTGGCTCAATACAATAACTCTGGCGGAATCTTGGAGTTCTGGTAAACAATCTCTTAAATATGAGCCAAGAATGTGTTGCAGCCACCCAAAAAGCCAATGCAATCTTAGGTGGTATTAACAGAAAATCAAGATCACATGAAATGTTAATACTACTTTATAAGGCCTTAGTAAGACTAGACTGAAAACTGCATCCAGTTTTGCTCATTACAATATAAAAATATGTTGAGACTAGAAAGAATGCAGAAAAGAGCAACAAATATGATTAGGGAGTTGGAGATTAAAACATATAAAGAACAGTTGCAGGAATTGTGTATGTTTACTCTAATGAAAAGAAGGACTAATGATGATGATGTGATAATATTGTTTCAATATTTGAGCTGCTACAAAGAAAATAGGATCATCCAATTCTTCAAAGCATTAGAAGGGAGACAAGAAGCAAAGGTTGGAAATTAATAAGGGAGAAAGTAATGACAATGACACTGAGAATAATAAACCAGTGGAATGTCTTATCTTCAAAAGTTGTTTCACTACTGGAGGCTTTTAAAAAGTAACTGGACATCCATTTGTCTGAAATGGTATAGGATCACCTGCTTGAGCAGGGGGTTGGACTAGAAGACCTCCAAGGTCCCTTTCAACCTTGTTGTTCTATTGTATTCAGTGGTGGGATTCAAATTTTTTTATTACCGGTTCTGTGGGTATGGCTTGGTGGATATGGCTTGGTGGGCATGGCAGGGGTAGGATACTGTAAAATCTGCATTCCCACCCCACTCCAGGGGAAGGATACTGTAAAATCTCCATTCCCTCAATACCCCACTAACCAGCTTTCCAGCTCCATTCTCCTGTGTAGGGCAACAAAAGAAGATCCAGCCAATCAGCTGGGACTCAGGAGGCAGGGAATAGATGGGGGCAGGGCTAGTCAGAGGTGGTATTTGCCAGACTATTCAAAATTTCCTCTATCGGTTTTCCAAACTACTCAAAATTTCTGCTGCTGGTTCTCCGGAACTGGTCAGAATGTGCTGAATACCACCTCTGATTGTATTGCAGTTAAACGAAATTAAAGGAACACTAAGTTACTTCACAGCTATAAGTCATCACGGCTGCATCATTATTCCAGTAATGGATCACAAAATTGTAGGGAAGATAGAGAGCAATGTTGGCAACAAACTGTTGTACTTGATGGGATTTTCATTTGATTCAACACATTTTTAATTTTTTTAAAACTTATTTCTAGCAGATATGCATTTGTTATTTATTTATTGCTCCTGAAAACCCTATGTGCTATCTTTGAATTGGACACAGAATTGATTGAAGACCTATGTGGAATTTTCCACTCAAAATGATATTCAAAGAATTAAGAAATACGATTACTGAAAACATTTTTCAAAATGAGGAAACTATGAAAAATAGCACAGCAGGAAAAAGTTAGTCACAAGTAATCCGGTGAACAAGTATTTTAAGTAGAACCTAATATATTATATACTATATTTATATAGTTATTTCCTTATTTCTAGATTTGAGATTGAGTGGGCATTTTTCCGAATGTCCTGAGGAGTACGAGTACTTCTGTGTCAAGGGAAGATGCCGCTATGTTGTTGCAGTACAAACTCCATCCTGCATGTAGGTTCCAAAACCAGACAAGCCTTTTCCCAAGAGTTAAACCTGAGCATGACTTCAATGGCCAAATATCTCCAAATATGCTCAGGCCAAATATGTATTTGTTTGAATCTGTTATCTACTATTTTTCCTCCACTCTTGCTCTCAGCACTGGCTCTCCACAGGGCTGTGTGCTGAGCCCCCTTTTGTATTCACTCTACACCCACGACTAGACCCCCTCTTGTCCCACTAACTCTATAATAAAATTTGCAGATGACACCACGCTGGTGGGACTCATATCAGGAGGAGACGAGACGGCCTATAGGTCAGAGGTTCTCAGACTGGTCTTGTGGTGCAAGAGTCATAACCTCACTCTGAACATCAAAAAGACCAAAGAATAGATTATAGACTTCAGAAGATGCAAAGCAGACCCTCTCCCACTATATATCAATGGAGACTGTGTGGAAAGAGTTCATAGTTTTAAATTTCTAAGAACTCGTATTTCCAACAAACACTATCACATTCAGGTGATATTTCCCTGAATGCATTTCCTAGATCAGGAATTCCATTGGCAGTTTTCAAGCCCTAAGATTCATCTGCATGTGCAGTTTGTTTGCAGATCTATCCTAGGTTTCCCAATCTGTACCTTTCAACTGTGTCACATTATGGTTCTCATAATCACCAGTTGGCATGGCTAGTGATGGAGTTGTGATCTAAGTCATCTAGAAGGAACCAGGCTGGGAAAGATTGCGTTAGTCACAAATGTGTACTGATGTGGGATAGGTGCTAGTTTGCAGAAATATACTTTAGTCCTGAAGGAAACAAGAAAACTGATTTGCAAAACATTTTTTTCTATATTTCTTACAGCTGTGAGAAAGGCTACACTGGGGAAAGATGTGAGCGGTTGGACTTATTTTATCTAAGAGGAGATCAGAGTCAAGTTGTGGTGGTTTCTTTGATAGTTGTTATGGTAATGCTTATCATCCTGATTGCATATATCTGCACTTGCACTCAGTGAGTATGCCCAAATGAAAGTTTGGCTTCTATATGTATTTTCATGAAATGACAAAGGTTAAGTTTAGCAATTACAACTTTTGGAAGTTTCTAATACTATATAAAACGCACATGTGCATGTGTTCCCACACGCTTGCATAATATATACGAAGAAAATAAAACTGAATTTACTATTCCTCATTGAGGTAACATTTCTTCCTTAATTCTAGTTATGTTGATACAATATATTCTCCAATATTGTTCCTTTATATAAAGCTGTAGAAAAGCTTTTTTTTTTTTAGTGGGTTAGATACTTTTAGATATACTTTTGTTACACTATTGCTCCAAATAAATAATAAATTCCATGTAATTCTTTTTAATATAATAAATAGGCAGAGAAATAAAACAGAAGACTAGGGATGACATGATAGCAGTGTTCCAATATCTCAGGGGCTGCGACAAAGAGGAGGGAGTCAGGCTATTCTCCCAAGCACATCGAAGGCAGGACAAGAAGCAATGGGTGGAAACTAATCAAGGAGAGAAGCAACCTAGGACTAAGGAGAAATTTCTTGACAATTAATCATTGAACAACTTGCCTCCAGAAGTTGAGAATGCTCCAACACTGGAAGTTTTTAAAGAAGAGATTGGATAAAATTTATCTGAAATGGTATAGGGTTTCCTGCCTAAGCAAGGGGTTGGACTAGAAGACCTCCAAGATCCCTTCCAACTCTATTATGTTCTGTTCTGTTCTATGTAACTTAGGTAGCATATTCCTGTTGTTCAGTTGCTAAGTCCTGTTTGACTCTACCAAGCCCATGGGCCATAGCATGCCAGGTCCCCTGGTTTTCCATCATCACGCTGCCCAAACTCGTGCCCACAATGTTAATCATATTATCTAACCATCTGATCCTTTGCTGTCCCTTCTCCTTTTGATTTCAATCTTTCCCAGCATCAAGTTTTTTCACTGAGTCCTCTCTTCTCATTTGATGCCAAAGTATCTGAGCTTCAGCTTTTTCAATAGCGATATTATACTACTAACTTACATTCTGTTATGGATAATCCATAATATCTGGATTAACCCATGTAGAATTTTGGACCAGAAGCCTTTGATCTTGCCTAGGATTACCATATGTATGTATGTATGTATATATGTATATATTTTATATATGTATATAATTTTTATAGCTAAAATATGTTACAGATTATCCTTTTTATAATTTTGATTTGGATTTATCAGTATATACTGATTCTTGATTTTTGGTTTTAATTATTAGTCTCAGCTTATCAGCTGCAAATCTGGTAGCCTTTTTTCTGAACCTGTGATAGACAATCTCTGTAATGGCATATAATGACATCTCTAATAATCTTCATGACAACTCTAATATTCCTCAGTGTCGGTCATATTGGCTCAGGCTATTAGAAATTATGGATCAGCAATATTTGAAGGGGAAGGGATTCCCTAGCTCATTCTAAGTTCTTATCCAAGCTGTTTATAAAATTATTAAAGAGCAGAAAATCTAGAAACAACACCTGTGGCACTCCATTTAAGAAACCTCTCCAGTTAATACAGTCAATGAACATTCAATGAACATTCATTCATTCACTGGAGATACTGGTTTCGTGAGCTGAAAATTAACAAAAATACAAGACTATTTTTCATTATTACTCTTTTTAAATATATAAAGACTTGACAGTAGATAGGGTCATGTGTACAGTCCTTTCCATGTTCCCTCTGACCTCCATTGGATGGCTAGTAGAGCTTCTGCTTATCTGAAGACAAGAACAGGGCTTCAGAGTTGAATGAAGCAGGTCACAGATCACATCGCTGCATTTGAGTTGACCTGAACGCAAATGTTGCTCTGCTTTGATTTTAGTTGGAGATAACATTCTCCTTCAACATAGACATACACTTGTAATACTTACTTAGTTGTATTGGAAATCAATTGTTTACAAAATATTGGTTAGACTAAATAATTTGTGATCATAGCTAACAAATTTGTATTATGAATTTGTAACTCATAGACTTAATTTTTTACTTCCTTTCAAAGTTATTGTCGGAAAAAACGTAGAAAGAGGAAACAGGAGGAATCCGGGACTTGTGATAATCAGCAGCCAATGAAAACTGATGATATACATGAGATGGATATTGAATTAAGGTAAAGAAGGTTCTGAAACTTTACATGCTGGAAATGTGAAAATGAGGGATAATTTATTTTATTTCCCAAATTAATTATATTATTTTTATTTGAATTCATAATATTTTCTTTAATATAAGTTTGTTTTAGTTTAAAGGATTACTATACTGAATGATACTTATCAAATGAATGTTTTAATGGTAATGTAATGAGAAAGCAATATTTCTCTTTGTGAACCGGCAAATCATAATTAACTGATTGTTTTCACTGGTATCTTACTGACATAATGGCTATAATCTCCTTTTTTACTAGCCAATACTGATGGAAATGTAATCAGGACATGACTTCATTTTGTTTCTTAAGATATTTTTCTAGATTGAGGGTTTCTTTATTCCTAAATATTATTTTCTTTCACATAGGAGAAAGCAAATTATCCCACACCAAATGGATTATGTTTATTTACATTACATACATATGTTCCATTGAGAAAGTACACAGGAAAATTAAATGAGAAAATGAGGAATATTTTGTTGTTATGATGGTAGAAAAAAGCCCCTTCACAAAGAGTATAGCAGGGTCATTTCAATTTCAGTATTCAGGAAGATCATATAAAGAGAAACCTGCCTGGCCTGCACTGCCTCTCCCTTTTGTGAACCATAGCAAGGGATTTTGCACATATGCCCTCTGCTCAGCTTGATTTGTAAATGAAAGCAATGGAGAAGTTATTCTTCCAATACATGCAAAAGTTCTGGAAAAGTGAGTAGTCAAAGAGGATGTAAAAGAAAACAGACCCACCCCTTGACAGACACTTAAAAAAAGAAACATGTGGATGATAGTATCATATTCACCCCAAATTCACGTGAATTCACTTTGCTATCTGTTTGTGACTTTTTCTTCATCAGAGGGTGAAAAAAAAGAGTAGTTCTTATGAGCCCAATGATTTGCTGAAAAACTACACTATTGTGCTTTCACTTTTTTGCGATAGGATAATTTTCAGAAATCTTTTCATCTTATCATATATTATATTGCACCAGAATGATGAGAAATAAGTCTGTAGTTCTCTGTATGCTTAACCCATAATAAGCAACTGCAAAGATCAGAGGTATTTACATCTGATGAGTATCTGAACTACACAATAATAATAATAATAACTGCTTTCTTTCTTAACTCTACAGGTAAACAAAAGTGCCTGCTGGCAAATTCCAAAGACTTGTGCCCTTTTCCTTTTGAAGGCTTCCCTGAGGACTAGTGATATGAAAATAAATAAGGAAAAATAAACATGGGTATATAACTTCAGTCACTGATGTGATATCTGCCAAAATCTATTATTAATATGAGAATAGTAGTGATAATATTGGGAATCCTGGAATTTTCTTATATGTCTGAAAGATTTTAGAAGCATAGTATTTGAATTTAACATTCTTCAGTTTGTCAATCTGAAAAGGAACTTGGTGTTTTATCTTCAGTAAAAACAGATAAAATGTCTAGTAGTATAGCGTATTCTAGAGTAACTAAAATAGGCACTTGGGCAGTTATGTTTAGTTAAAGTTTCAGTAATAGCTATACTTTTATCAATAGAAAAAATATCAATAACTCCGAGTTGAACCGTGGAGTCCCTGGTCAGGGGTGAGATTCTACCAGTTTGCACCTATTCGCTAGAACTGGTTGTTAACATTCTAAGCAGTTCAGAGAACTGGTTATTAGAAGAAATTACTGGCCTAATCCTGTAAGGAAGGCAGGAAGGAAACATTCTGGTGTTGCTTACAGAAACTGCCTCTCCGTTAACCCTTATTACATTCTTGGCAGGACTAGACTTCCTGTCTCTGGAACTTCTCTGGAGTTTTTCCCCCTACTTTGCTGGTACTTTGCTGGTACTTTGCTTGAGTGACCATTCAGAGTTACAATGGCACTGAAAAAAGTGACTTATGACCATTTTTCACACTTACGACTGTTGCAGCATCCCCACAGTCATAAGAGGCCAGGGGAGGAGATGCATGCCTCGATGTGAGTGATATTGAGTTGGCCCCAGCCAGCCAATTACATGACCACCAAGCCATGTCCACCCAGTCACATGACCACCAAGCCATGCCCACCAACTAAGCCACACCCACAGAACCAGTTGTTAAAAATTTGAATCCCACCCCTGTCCCTGGTGTTCTCTGAGCTTGGTTGTTTGCTTGCAGGTAATATTTTCAGCACTAGAAGAGAATGAGCTTTGCTTTCTGTTTATATCCAGTAATTTGCCCTATTGGTGTTGGTAGGCTACTGAATGTATATAAATAGAAAGTAAATTCTACTCCCTTGTAGCGATTAAGATGTTACATATTCAGATAACAAATGTCTGCAAACAAGCTCAGAGAGCACCAAGGATTCCACAGCTGTAATTTAAATTGGTGATTTCATGTTTTATATGGCGTTTTTGAACTACCTATTTTCTTTTACCTTTAGCTTTGCTGCTATCTCCACTGAGAGGTGGAATATAACCATATTAATATGGCTTTGCAAAATTTCACTGTTCTGAGTCTATGCTTTAGATTGGATTTAGAAAGGCATCATACATGTGAAGTCATACATAGCTTGTTGGTATATTGGTTGCACATAATGTAATTTACTCTCCATATCACCCTCTAAAGGTCTAGGTCTGTGATGGCGAACCTATGGCATGCATGCCGCAGGTGGCACACACAGCCCTGTCTGTAGGCACGCTTTCATATTGGCCTGCCACTGGGCCTCTTTCTTGTACTGCACTTTCTTGGCTGCACTATAAGCAAAGACTCCAGAGCAGGGTTGTCAAACTTGTAGCATCACGTCGGGCATCAGACTTTGCATTGGGGTCACTGACAGCATATACAATAGGACCTTGGAGGTCAGGCTGCTGTCAACTAATCGTTTTGGCTCTTGATGTCAGACCTGATCTGATGTCCTGGAGTTGCACAATGTGATTTCCAAATGCCTTTCAAAATGTAATTGTTCATGTACATGGTGCAAATCTTATTACAAATATAAATATTATATTTATATAATATATAAATTATGGCATCTTGTTGTATATGATGCTTCAATATGTGTCATATCTTTCAATATATGAAGGGATGGGAGTCTTTATTATTTTTTATGAAACATATCACTCTTCCACAGCACTTAAGAGAAGAAACTTAGATTGTGTTCAGCAATATGAAAGGAATGATAAATCTTACAAGTTATTAAGAAAGCCTAACCTGAATGAATTGTATCTGTAAACTATACTTTATAATTGTAGTTTGATGTCTACCAAATTTGGGGTGACTGTCTTACAATGTTAAGAAGATATATTTATGTAGTTTATCTGTAGACAATAATGAGACCAAATCCTAAATATTACTAGTATTCTTTATCATGATGTCTATGATTCACACATATCGGTTATCAGCTATATTCAGAACTTCCTAGAACTTATAGAATTGTATGATGTTGGTGGCTTCTGGTGAAGGTGGCTGACTAACCAATCTGGGGAAAAAGCTCCATGAAAGGGAGTTTTCTCTGGATGAAAGCATTTTAAATTTACTAACAAGGAAACTATGTTCCCCACATTTACAGGACTCTCCTGGACTAGGAAGAGTCCTGGAATCATCCCACAAGATCCTCCATACAATAGCTGTCGGCAGAAGATTTGGGGAATTGTGCTTCAGAGCAGTCAGTGAGTCATTCAGCTGGGGGCAGGTCTGTTTTCAACTTTGCTGTTGAAAAAGCAGCTGTTTTGGAATTTATTTTTCAAATGGGCAATAAATCACGGCTTTCTTAAAAACTTTATTAGATTATTATCTTTAATAAGGTAAAAGAGACTCTTTTCAGTCAAAGCCTGTTACTCCTTCTTGAAAATCTGCACCATTTTTGAGACATCCTTATTGCTGAATGACAAGGAAGAGGGCAGCTGGTGATGAACTAAAATAAGGAAATGTGGAGTGCATTTATTTTAACTTTGATGGAGAAACATAAGGATCTTAAAGTTGTGGTTTTATTTTGTCATTTATATGAATCTGTTACTCTTACTTGATGTTGGTATTAACATCTCTAACTTTGGACTATTTGTTGTTGGTTATAATCTTCTGATTTTAATGAATTCTGATTGGCCAGGAAATACCATTTGTTTTGTAAAAGTCTATTCTTTAATTATAAAATGGAGCTAAAGAATTGAAGATGAAGAAATATTAAATGCATCAGATTGCCAAAGTTATATTCAAGAAGAGTTTAAATTAAGAAAAAATCAGTTTATAGGTCAATTATGTTCTAAAGAGGAGCAAGAAAAACGAATTACTCAAATAATTAGAAGAATGTTGAATAATCCAGAGATGCAATTATTTGCAGAAAGTTAACCAAACCACAAAGGATATTCCACAAGTATTTAACAACGCAAAGGACATAACTGTAATTTTAGAATACAAATCTTATACCAAACAATTATACCAATTATAGATGGTTTAAATGCAAGCTTTCCAGCAAAATGAAAGAAAATTCTTTCAATTAAATCAACAATCCACAAGAGAAGAAGTTTAGGACTTTTTCTTTATGGATACTAATAAGTTAAGAATCTCCTGAGCAAAAGAGAAATTTATATTTGTTTGATAGACATTCCAGATTTTTTTTTAAATTTATGAGGACATGTTGGAAAGAGTGACTTAATGAGCTAACTGGAGTAAGGATGGAGTAAAAACTCCATGTAACTGAAAGAAAGTTCCAATGTATGATTCCATGTTTATAAAATGAATTTGTTTTTCTTATATGTACTGCTTGGGTAGTTCCTAAAGTTAGTTAACTTTTATTGAAAGGGAATTTGAATGTAACTATGTTAAGAGGAAGTTTAAAAAAGGAACTATTAGAATTTGTTAACTTTAGAAATGTTTTAAAAGAAATATTTGGAGTTTTAAAATGGATATAAAATAAGTTTTCCCTATAAGGTTAAAGAAATTGAAAGAATATAGTGAATTTTATTAATATAAATGAAGATAAACTACAAAGATTAATAAGCATACACACACACACACGCACACACACACACACACCTATATATACATCCATACATCTCTCTCTCTCTCTCTCCCTCCCCCCCCCTCTCTATATATGGATCTTTGGTTATTCGGGTTTTCTCCCGTGTAAAATTGGAAGTATTTTGGCGACGTTTCAATGAAATCTCATTCGTCATCTTCAGGCTTGTGTCTTCGGCTTTGTGCTTCTTGGAGTAATGTGAGCTTGCAGCTGCTTCTTCCTTTTAACTGCCAGTGGGAGTTTGACTTGACTGGGTGGGGACTTGGCTGTGTTCTGATTGGGTGGGGGTGTGTTCTTATTGGTTGGGGGCCTGGCTGTGATCTGATTGGTTGGAGGGTTGGCTGTGTTCTGATTGGCTGGGGGTGTGTTCTGTTCAGATGGGGGCTTGGTTGTGCTCAGGTTAGTCTTAGTTGTCGGGGGATTTGAGCTGGTGAGCTGTGATCCTGTTGTTTGGTTCACATTCGTGGTCATGCCACATCTTCACGTTGGGCGTCTGTTCGCTTCATGTATGGGTCGGCGGGGTTTGAAGTGGGTAGTGATGCAGCTGCGGTATGGCTTCTGGTCCGTGGTCGTGTCTCATCATCTGTGTGGGTGTGAATCTGCTTTCTACGTGGAAGTGTGGTGGTAGCATCAAGAAGCACAAAGCCGAAGACACAAGCCTGAAGATGACAAATGAGATTTCGAAACGTTGCCAAAATACTTCAAATTTTACGTGGGAGAAAACCCAAATAACCAAAGATCCACATACAAATACCCGCGAAAACCTCAGAAAACAAATATATATATATATATGGGTGTGTGTGTGTGTGTGTGTGTTTTCTTAAATTTTCACCGGTACTCACATGTATGTTATTCAGCTTTGTTTGGGTACTTATTCTTCTATTGGTCTGTCCAATGTATGTGGCCAGGCATGATGCACAGGGGACTTCATATATGCCTTGGTTTTCCAGGTCAATTTTATCTTTGGGGTTTCTAAGGATAGCTGCTATTTTTCTGTCTGCTTTGAAGGCAGTCTTGATGTGATGCCTGTGTAGTATCTTACTGATTTTATCAGTAGTACCTCTTTTGTAGGGCAGGACAGCTGTTCATCTTCTAGGTCTCCATTATGTTTCAGTGTGTTTTTGTGGATCAAAAATGCAGTAAAAAGGCTGGAACACACTTCCTCACTAGTCCAACACATGAAAGCCATAGGTCATAGCATCAACTTCAATGGCACCAAACCCTAGCCACTATAGAAAACCCCAACCACAGAATTATCAGAGAAGCCATA